TATTAATTATAAATAATAAATGCACATTGGAAGTCATGTTCATATAGTCAAGAATACGTGGGACGAGGGTATCGAAGATGTTCACCACAAACTCTGCTGATGAATGCATTATCTTACAAGGTCCATTAAGATTGCATCGTGGAGATATCCCACTGGGAAACCCGAATTTCCTCACTTTCTCTTTCTGGACAATTAGACAAGCGAATTTTACCGTCAAATTCTCACATGGATTTCAAACCGGTATTTCAAATTACTAATCTCGCTGTAAGCAGCATTCCATCTAAGGAAAATTGTCGTAGGAGTAAAATATTCTGATGGGAATAAAGTTCGCATTAAGGTCACAGCTTAAGCAACAAAGTTTCGTGTATGGAACCCGGCAAAAACCTACATGACGAGTGTCATCAGACATCTTGACCCAAAAATGAACTGCAAGTTTGAAGCAATTCGATTGGGGTTACCACACCGAGGCCACCACTTTATTTCACAAACTGCATTTAACAGCGCGATGAATTAGGACTTAAAAGACTGGCATTAAAGGACCGACATCAGCTCTTTTTAATGATCACCCGAATCGTGGTATTATTCCGCCCATAGAGAGCTGTTATAAATTATATTAAATGACGGGAAGACTGCCTGCAGCCAAATCAAAGCGTATGCCATTTGAATTCCTTTAAAGAATTGATGTAAAAAACTACTAATAAATGCCAAGAACTTTATTGCCAATTTAGATGGCAAAGATGACAATTTTAACGAAAGCACTGGGTGCGCCAAATATACGTGGGATGATATAATATTTAATATTTGCTATGTGTTTCTTAAAAATCGGCTAAATCAGAGTTCTTTGTGGGCTTAAGGATAAGTTTTTTTCAAAATTTAAACCACACTAATAAAAGAAGATTAGATTAATCAATCCAATCAAAGAGTAGATAAGATGCAGTCCCTTGCGACATAAAATACCCTACCAATGACTACTGTTATACAATAATCTTTCCCAGAATTAGAAAATCACTAATACCGATATATCACGATTAGTCCTCAATTTTAATGAGTATGAGAGGTAGAACAATTGTTAGATAAAAAATAATGAAGTAATAGAGCAAAGGTGCCAGCGATGTGCAAGTGAAACTCGGATTCCATTTGATAAGATATTTATTTATTTCACATTGCGGGCGTTTTGATAGTTATCATTATCCCTTTAGCTGACTTCGTTCTTCACAAATGGAAGGAACATCAGAGTAACAGAAGGTCAAGGGGTGGGGAAGAGAAGAGTGATTCACAGATATAAGAGACAGACAGACACAAATGCAGAGGAAAAATGTAAGATGAGTACTTCGGAAGTGGCCGAATATGGCATACAGTCTGGCCATGGCCGTATGAAGTCAGAAGCCAACCGCTGGATAATAGACTTGTTTGCCGTATGAGTATACGTTGGCCAGGGTGCACCATGTGAGGTGATTATTGATAAGATAATCTTAGATATGCTGAGCCAGATTCGATCAATTTATATTCTTTGTCCATCAAACAAACAGCTCATAAATTTATAACTGAGACCGTCAATGGAATAAGTCAGATTGGGTATACTACAAATCACAGACCTTCAACTTGGAGAGGTTTAATGCAGTTTCGGTCTAATAAATGCAGCTAACACAGGGGATTAAACGTGCACGACGGGGATACCAACTTCAATTACGAGATGACTGTATGACTCAGAGAATTAGTTGCATATGACTCAACTCTGAATACACCTTTTCCGCTTATAAAGTTTCTTTCCAAGGCAGAACAAAACCAAAAATTACTTAGGCAGAATCGTACTTGCAGAGCTTGTATAAAGCAGACTTTCACAGGTTAAAATAGACTTTCAAGTGCCTCAATAATATGATTATATTGTTCCTTGTAAACTGAAAGATTAAATGGGAATTCACCTGTTAATTGCTGAAGTATATATTAAATCATTGGTTCATTATTTATTCATATCAAATGGCTGGCTTTATGATATTTATCATAAAGCCAATATCGGGCTTAACAGAGGAGAGGAACATATATAGAGGCCCGTTAGTTGACTTCCGGCCTCCCAGTATCTCTGGGACTCTGTCGTTGTCTGTAGGGCTGGACACCGAATCCACTGGGTGTTCTCCATTTCCACCTATAGGTCACATAGGGAGCATGTTGGTTGAGCGTATACTCCTATTCTGCAAAGGTGCCTCCCTAGGCATTCGTGTTCGGTAAGCAGTCTTAAATCTGCAATAGTTTCTATTCTTGGTCAGCCGGCTATAATGGAGAGTGCCACTGTCCACTGTTTCCCCTTTGCTCTTGATTCATTAGTGCTTGAGTACATAGACTAAGAAGGAAGTAGTCAAAGATTTATTTATTTATTTCAAATGGCAGGAATTTTGATAGTTATCATTAGCCCTTTAGTTGACTTCGAATATCGCAGAAGGGAGGAACATTAAAGTGAGAAAAATTCGACAGGAGTAAGGAAAAGCGATTCACAGATGTAAAAGACAGACGGACACAAAGGCAGAGAAAAGGCTAGATGAGTACTGTAAAAGGTAGTCGCAGTGGGGTTATGGAAGTTTGAAGTCAGAGGTCAACTGCCAGTTAATGGACATTTTTGCCGTATGAGAATACGTTGCCCAGGGTGCACTACGTGGAGGTAAGTCTATCGCACACCTCAGTAGTCAAAGATTAGAGTGATACATATACTGCTTAAACTGCGAAGTACTGAGTCTGTAAGAAATTCTCGAGTGTATTGAGGATATGCAGGTGACTTTTTCGCAAATAATGTCATTTCCACCCGAAAGGCAGTAAAATCCGTTACCTAATGAAAAATTCAAGTTAGCTGCACTAACACTGTAAAGGAGGCAGTGAATCTTCTAATTTTTATAGACTTTCCTCCTTGTTCAAGACTGCCCTCTAAAATAAAAGAAAGTTTAGAGAAAATAAAGCACCACCACAAAGACCTTCAAGGATTGTGACCTTCATAATAAGCTCGTAAAAATTTGAACTCAGAATGAAGTCATGTCGAAGGATATGAACGCAGACCTGGAGTGCACGATAGACTTAAATCCTACGGCAAAGAAGTCTAAAAACCGGCAGTTGACTTCGAACTACCATCTCCCCCTACTGTAAGTCATATTCTACCACTTCCACAATTTTTTACCTTTGTGTCTCCCTTTCATATCTGTGAATCACTCTTCACGTTTTGTGACTTTGATATTCCTACCCTCCCCCCTCCCCCCTCTGTGAAGCCAGAAGTCCACTAAAGGCTAATGATAACCATCATTAAGCCTGTCATTTCATTTAAATACATGTTTCACTGACTTTTATTACTATTCTACCTATTATTTGCCCGCCACATATCATTTTGTTCATATATACCCACTATTTTTATTACCAATTTCTGCTAATTCCAAACTCAGAAATAGGTTGATTTTTAGCAAGCAATGATGGCCATCACCATCTTGTCTTTTAACCATTTTATGTCAATTGGCTTCCATTTATGTGTTGATAGGAAATAAGCAGACAGCCGTTTTTAGTCAAAGCAACTTAAAACTTTATTTCATGGAATAATTAACTATGGGCTACTTTAAATCTTTAAATCTCTCACCTATAGTGGTGCGTATTCAGATGGACCTATAACTTTTCATTTAACATAAGAACGGTCTGCATTTCAGCAATGGAGTAAGTGAACAAGGCAGGGCAAGAACACGCCTCGATGCAACCAAAGAAGATAAGACCTTCAATCGTGAAGGAACGAGAAGTGTAACATCACGCTTATCGTCATAGGTAAGTTAGATGATCGCAAAGAACATTTGTTAATGGCGTTTTTCTATAAAAAATTGAACATAACAAGAATTTAAAAGAAAAGAATTTAGAAATTCAAATTTTTTCCATAGGAAAGAGTTATAGAGGAATCGGTTGAGGCCAAATGATGCGGAAACGCCTACCACTGTAATTATTATCGACCCGAAAGATGAATCAGATTGAAAAGAAGTGCTATTACAGCATCTGCCAAGTGAATATTCTCAGGTACTGTGAGTATTGCAGAAAAGGTCTTGTTTAAAAACCCCTGTTAGATGGAGGATTCAAAAATTTTGGCGACGCTTGCGGTTACTCGACAAACTTTGCATTTTGAAGCCCACTTTTTACTGACCTCATAAAAATTTTTCCCAGTAAATTTATTTGTCAAATGAAGTTACATTTCATTTACTATTAAAATAATGCACTTATTGTCAGTTGGTTTATAAAATTTCGATTTGATTGAAATTACTTATTTATATCAAATGGCAAGCGTTTTGATATTTAGCTGATATATTTAGTTGACTACAAACTTCACAGAGAGAAAGGAACATCAGAGTGGAAAAAAGTCGAAAGAGGAGGGGGAGGACGGAAGAGTGCTTCAAAGGTGTGAAAGAAACAGACACAAAGGTAGAAATAAAGGTGGGGTGAGTACTGTAGAAGTAATCGGATTTGACATACAGTGGGGTTAATGGAAGTTTGAAGTCAGAAGTGAACTGCCTTTTTATAGACTTTTTTGCCGGATTACTATGCGTTGCCCAGGAGGTTAGTCTATCACACACTCCTCATTGAAAGTATACTTTCAGCTAAACCTCTAGTAGTCTATCATTGCTTTATATAATGAGAAGAGTGTCAGAATTCGTTTATCACGCCAACCAGATCCCACGATGAGGCTCATCTAGTATTGGGGAAAGGGGATTAGGAGTCAAGAGGATATTTCTATTGATTAAATCATTGCACAAACATTTAAATTCATTCTATACCTGTTATCAGACCTCTAGGTACATTTTTACCGCTCTTTCAGCAAGAAGAAGCATGACTTTATAAGGTCAAAAGCTATCAAATGATAACTATGGTGATCTCTATAAACCAATCGCTATTAACTATTTTTCTTTGTTTTGCATTTGAATTCATTTACTACTGCAGGCCTAAAGCAGTGGCAATAAACTTCGGAACGCTACTATCACCAGTTAGTATTTCTTATGCATCAAGTGTCTGACAACATGTTGAACATTGCCAACTTGATACTCCTGCCGTCATTCTGTTGTCAAATGTACCTCGTGGTTATCTGTGAGAAGGTCAAATTGAATATTTTGGATTCATCCGATGGAAACACTCGTTGCACTCGTGAGTTCATTCATTATGAACTGGAAAATCAATTTTTGGAAACCTCTGTTCAAGCTACAGATCTTCCTCCTTCATGAACATTAATATTTGTACCTCCCTAAAGTGGGCAACGAAGTGACCTATAAAATTAAAACGCTATAAAATATAGTGATCTAATCAAGACTTCTCTGTACTTGCCAATCACTAAGGTTAATACATCAACCAGTTATAAAACAAAAACTCTGATTGATTGATCACATCTGCATTGAGTAACTCAAAGCTGACAAGGCAATCTTCTTAAGCATATAATCTATTCATTTTTTTAATACAATATTGGCAAACAGCAAATAGGTATTTATTCAATTTTATGAGTAAAATATTGAAATCTGAAAAGAGGAATTTGAAATACTCATTGTGATTCCCTTATAGGTGATTTGATTAATTTTCTATAATAAATTTTCCTTTTCGTTGCGAAATAACTGTTTAAGGTAGTAGTGAACTAAGGTAGTAGTCGGAACTGTCAATTTATCTACCCCGATATTAACTATCACTGTCGCCAAGTTCAACTCAATCCAAACCTCCCAATTCCTTTGCTCACAGATCTTACATTACTGCTCTCACATGAAATCTATTCTCCATCTTGCGGTGTGAGAGATTCAAAGACAGTGAAGAGGTGAAAGCTCAGTCAGACTCTTTGCTCTCCAAGATATGAAACCGACATTTTTTCAACTCCTGAGGGGTACCATTAACCCTAGGATGTATGACGACATCAGTTTTCCAAGGCGTTTTCTTCACTCTTTCAGTAGGGGCGGCCTTAAAGTCTGTAGACAAGCAACTAAAAGATACTGCCAAGTAAACTTTTGAGTAAATTTGAGATGATTTTAGCTTGCAACGTGAGTATAGCTGTAGTATCGTTGAAAGCTCAAAAAACCGCTTTAATCAAGATAACTTGTTCAAAATGTACAATTCAGGAATGATAAAATATAACTACGCAGGGGACATAAAATAAGTCGATGGGAGCTAAATATTATTATTATTATTATAAATTTCGGTGCTTTAAATCAGGATTAAGTTGGATTTTGAGTAAACAAGTCGAATCATCTGAAAATAAATCCCTTGCGTTGAATTCCAACATTAAACAGAGTGTAAAACGAGAGTAGATACATTAAGAATTGTTGATTATCTTTTGAAAAGTGGCAACTGCAGAATGTCTGCAAGGACTTCCTATACATTTCTCAAAATATTAAAATTCTTAAAATTTGTCAAGTTTTAAAGAATTTTGTGTTGATAAATGAATTGTTTGACTTGAGACGCGATGGGGTAAAACAATTGGATCGATCGAAATGCTTCAGAGATTTTTTCTGAGAAGATTGCATACTGCTGGTTTTATAATGGAAGCCTCAGGTGGTGTAGGAAACGTCAAAAAAATTTACATACGTGTAATCAAATTTTAAAAAAAGTACAAATATTTCAGACATTATGTTTTACAATAAAAAACAAATGGTTAAATACACCCGCGACCAATCTTTTAATCTGGGCAATTCCGACTTTGGAATGTCTCTTGAAGCCTCATTTCATGGGATTCGAATAAAAGATTGGTATAGTTCTCGTTGCAACTGCTCCAAAATACCTTTCCATATAATTAACGATCCAGTAGTGTAATACCTGCATATCTGCCACTCCATCTACTCGCTCAATGTGAGCGACCACTCGCACTGATTAAGCATAGTTAACTGGAGATGATAAGGTGTGATTTTCTCATTCATCATAGTCTAATTAGCATACCACCAGCAGAAACAAAGCGTCCAAATAACCAGGGTATATAGATAAATGCAGCTGACGTGTTCATTTTTAATATTTTTCAAAATTCAGAATGCACTATTACTTCTTGCTTTAAGCAAAAAAGTCTGTGTAGGTCACTACCTCTTCATTCGGACAAATGTCATATCTAATATACCTTTTGAATAGATAGGCGATTCGTTTACAACATAAAATTTAATGAGGAGAATCTTAGGTGGAATTCGGAGATTCATACTTTGAAGGCGACGCTTCTCCACTGTTCAAGTTGCGATTCCTGTTTCTTTGAGCTTTAGACGAATCTGGTTTGAGAATATTGAGAACACTTCGAATGATTTGAACCTTACTCTGATAGCACCTAGCCAAAAACTTACCAGAGGTCCGTTTGGGTTCTAATCTCGTATTCTATGAACAGATTAAAGGTTATCCAGAAGGGAAAGAAGGCAAAATAAATATGGAACCTTTATTTTTAAAATATTGGTTGATAACTCAATTACTACCGATACAGCTAATCAAATTTTGTTCACTATAAGCTAAGAATTACAACGCAAATTTATGGAATTACCTCCATTACAGTTGCTTAAACTGGCAGCCCAAAATGTAATCATTTCTTTCTTCTAAAAAACCATTTTCAAGATGAGTTTACGATAAACAAGCGAAGAGAACACGAGTTCTCCCTCTACATCAATTGATCTCCATTTATAGTACTAGAGACATGTCATGTATCCTTGGAAACGGTGTGTTTATTTTAAACAATGATGTTTTAATAATCTCTAATTAAGTTATAAACTGCTCTCTTTGATTAAAATGACCACACTTTGCCTATCGCATTATATTGTTATAAATGGATATCCACAAAATAATGCAGACATAAAATACGGTCAATTTTCCGTGCCCCCTTCGAGGTGACTGGGAAATATTTTGTTCCTTTTAAATCAAAGTGGATTTATTTATTGTTGTCAATCGAATGCATAATGATAATAATAACACACAAGTATATGACTTAGAAATTTCATAGTACATTTTTAATTTGACTGGGTACCCAATCTTTTAGACGTTTAAAGTACCACGTGCGTATTTGCTTTTCAACCTGAGCGAGCATTGACGGGCTTGCATATTGATAAATACTGTTTGATGCAGGAAATGTCCGCCAGCTATACTGTCATCGGTTTTTTACGTCTTATCCACAAGATGGCTATTTGAGTAGAACATTTTGTACCACAATTTTGTCATTTTATGCTTGAAATGAAAAGGGTTTACTGAAATAGTGTATTACTTTGTGTACTCTAAACAAAGGGGTGTATGGTTGCTGTGAGAAAAATACATCTTTGCAGATGATAATATTTATTTATATGTTTCAAATGGAAGGCGTTTTGATAATTATCATTAGCCCTTCAGCTGACTTTGGGCTTCACAGGGGGAAATAACATCAGGGTAACAGCAAGCCGAGGGGTGGGGAATAGAAGAGTGATTTACAGATGCAAAAGAGACAGACACAAGGGCAGAGAAGAGGTAGGATGAGTACTGTGAAAGAGGTCGAATATGACATACAGTCAGGTCATAGTGGTTTGAAGTCAGAAGTCAACTCCCGAATAATAGACTTTTTTTCATATGAGTATACATTGGCCAGTGTGAACCGCGTGGAGGTAAGTCTATCGCACACCCCGCAGTTTATAATATATAACCTATCAAAGCGAGCATCTTCTCAATTTTTGTAGAGTCTAAAATCTCAACACTGACTAACTGTGAATCTCAATATGGAACGGCGATAAAGCATCAATCTCATAACTAGAAAAGATTAATGAGAAAGCGTTTTCATAGGGGTGTGTGTAGGTGGGGGGGGGGGGGGGGGGGGAATCTATAGGCAAATTCAAAGGATGACAAGTGCACTGGGTGAGGTAGGTTAAATAGATAAACAAAAGTGGTTTTTTTTCAATACCACAACATGCCAGTGAAGAGCTTTGAATTAACATTTCAGTAGGGACGTGATGAGCCTAAAAGCTGAGAATCAGATAGTTAAAACGAGGTCCCATCTTACCTTTTGGTTTATTACAACAAGATTAAATGCTACAAGGGGGATGTTATTAATTAAATGTGTTCCTTCCAATTCAAATTCCCGAGTTTATTAATAAGTTTTGGGGAATGGCAGAGATCATAAATTCTAAGATCTATTTTGGATGAGAGCAAGGACTCCTGGAGGCATTCATGAAACCAAATTTCATTAAAGTTAATTTTAATCGCTCTATTTCAAAAACGATTGCCTGTAATAGAGACTCAAGGCAAAGATCAAGAAGAAAGGAATACTCAAAACTCTAGCGAATAATATTCAAATGAAAAAAAGCTTTATCGTGATCCATTAGCGGGAAAAACTAAGGAAGAAGTAATGAAGATGTTAAAAGGACCGTATTGGCTTTGATGCGATCTACGAAGTAATTTAAAATAAAATCTAAACCATAAAATCTTTTAGTTATGTTTCAGTAGCTATTATTGATTTAAGTAATAAAAATTTGATAACTAATTATCAATCCTCAATTTTTTAGACAGGAAAACAGTATTTTAAAAAAGAACATAATATGTATCAATAATAATCTCAAAACGCATTATCTTTATTTGAAAACCATTATAATTCTTCAGTGTTACTTGTGAGATTCTTGAGTCAAACTGGCCATTGTTTTGGCGGCATGCTACAACAACGAGCCCCGGCATATCCTCAGTTATCTCCATAGCAAAATATTTTCAACAATGTAGAGCACATTTACTTTGGTTGTGTCTGTCACAGAGCTTGGTCATTAAAATATAAAAATGGGTTTGTTAAAAAATGCAGCGACTGTTGAGGGGTGGCTGACTGAGAGGTCGCTACGCTCACTACACGATGAGTAGCACAGCCACATCTAATAATCCTTGACAGAGGCTCAGTAATATCTATGACAAAATCCCCTCATCAATGTAGAGGAAACGGACTTACGGTGTGGAACACATTTATTTTGGCTGTGCGTGTGTCACAGAACAGAGTCATTCAAACATTATGAAGGGTTTGTTTGAAGGCTGACTGAGAGGTCGTGGGGCTCGTGACCGCCCCTGGAGTCTGTCCGAGTGAGCAAATAATTTCTGTGTTCACCCAAGGTAGTGTTGTGCACTTCACACCGAAAGGACTTAGTTCATATGAATAAAAAGTAGCTTTCGGAGAACTATAACTTAGATTTTGACACGAAGACCTGTTAACCAAAGGCATTTTAAGTCTATATTATTAAGAGCATCCTTAGAATATCATCCAAAGCTGACTCTAATTAGCCTTGTGATA